GCTTGCACTCTCTCTCTCTCAAATAAATAAAATCTTTTTAAAAAAATTAGATCTAAAAAGAATCCTGAGCCAAAAAAAAAATAAAAATTTAAATTAAAAATTTTTTAAATCCTGGGCCAAAAAGGCAGACCATGAAAGCATCTGCCAAATGAGCTATTTCTTTCTCCAACTGTTTCTCAACTTTTTCATTACTGGCCTCCTAAGGAGCCCTATTAGACATTTTTTCCTAACCACACCCACCATGAAATTTTAAAAGCACTGAGAGATATATATATGTGTGCTTTATACATTAAAAGAACAAGTATAAAGTTTATTCTTTTTATTCAATAATGAATTTGGAATAACTGAATAAATATTTTAAGTCAAATTAAAAATTTTAAAGCTGAGCACCTGGGTGGCTCAGTCGTTAAGCACCTGCCTTCGGCTCAGGTCATGATCCCAGGGTCCTGGGATCGAGCCCCGCTCAGCAGGGAGCCTGCTTCTCCCTCTCCCATGCCCCCTTGCTTGTGTTCCCTCTCTTGCTGTTGTCTTGCTCTGTCAAATAAATAAATAAAATCTTAAATAAATAAATAAATAAATAAATAAAAATTTTAAAGCTATTAATATTTAACTTTATAACTATTTGCTGAGTAGCTTTTAATGTAATATATCAAATTACACATGCAAATTTCCAATTTCTACATAATAATAGCAATGTAACCAAATTTTTAAAAGACATTCAACACTGCTATTTCTCCAGCAAAAGTAAAACAATTGAAAAATTATCGTCTTAAAAGTTATTTTTTAGGGGTGCCTGGGTGGCTCAGTCGTTAACCATCTGCCTTCGGTTCAGGGAGCCCCATGTGGGGCTCGATCCCAGGACCCTGAGATCATGACCTGAGCCAAAGGCAGACGGCTTAACGACTGAGCCACCCAGGCACCCCCAAAAATTTCATTTTATTTTTTTTTTAAGATTTTATGTATTTATTTGAGAGAGAGAGAGAATGAGAGATAGAGAGCACGAGAGGGAAGAAGGTCAGAGGGAGAAGCAGACTCCCCACTGAGCAGGGAGCCCAATGCGGGACCCGATCCCAGGACTCCAGGACCACCACCCGAGCCGAAGGCAGTCCGAAGAGCATGTGACTCTTGATCTCAGGGTTGTGAGTTCACGCCCCACACAGGGTGCAGAAATTACTTAGATAAATAAACAAAAATAAACTTCAAAAAAAAGTTAATTTTAGTGAACTTAATTTTGTTTCATATGAGAAAACAATTTTTAACTTAGGTAGCTGCTAGATATTCATTCAGATACTACCAATATCTTCTTTTCAGTACTTGACAACTATTGGTGGACTGAATAACTTTAGTAGGATTAAATAATAAAATATAAACTATTCCTATTTAATTCTCAAATACCAAGTCGTGCACAAAAACACTCAGGGCCAAACATACGCAACATCCACAAGGCAGCCAATGGGCAGCCTGCACATATGAGGCGGTCACCAAGAAAGAGATGACTTCCAGATCAAGTAACTGATAGAAAGTCCTCCAATCCTAGCCATCTATTTGCCACAGGCTTATACTATTGACCTTGCATACATCCTGTATATCTCCCAAGAGCTTGATGTCAACATTGCTTACATAATACCCAAGAAAAAGAGAGAAATTTTACTATTAATAAGATATTCTTGACCAAGCTCTGAAGGTCTACAAAACCATTGCAATATCTAAGATGCTTCCGCCTCCCTCCAGAAACAATTTTTGCAACCCTTGAGGTCATAAGCCCTAACCTCTATGTTCCCACATTTATCCTCCTAGCAACTAAACAGGAAAAAAACAAAAACAAAACAACAACAAACACCAGTTCACCCAGGAAAGCACCCCATCCACCAGCTGTCATGACAGCACCTCTACTACAATCATCTCCCTAGAAACTTCGAAAGAAAATTACCATATTATTAGCTCTTCTCCCAAAACGGAGCCTCTCCCAAAAAAGCATAGACTTCTAGAACTGGAAGAACACTTTGGGCTCATCCAGCCTCTCCTTCTTCAGATGAGGAAACTTAAAAGAACCCTAAGAGAATGAGAGACTTGCTCAATGAAATTACTAGTTAAAGACAGATACCTGATCAGTCTGGTTTACTGCTGTATCTGCACGCAGATGTTTGCACACATAATGAATAAATGGTTACTGGACAAATTAGTGACAGAGAGCCCAGTTCATCTAATCCCTAGCCTACTACTTTTCCAACTACACAGCTTTGTCCCTTTTACTTCCCTAGAATATAAAATAATGGCCACAAAGACTATCAAATGTATATTACGTGTTTAAAAAGTTCCCCAGCTGAAATAAGCCATTTTAGCCTCACATGCCCAGTAAAACTGACAAACCGGGTCTTGTTCACTCATGGTATAGCACTTCAGCCCACTGCAGGATTAAGGACTTTCTACAAGTAAGTCAAGTGTACCCAGTCCACAATGCAGTACTTCCTACTTGCTTACCCTGCCTTGAGCTCTACTCCAGAGTTCTTTTTTTTTTTTTTTTTAATATTTTATTTATTTGACAGAGAGAGAGACAGCGAGAGCAGGAACACAAGCAGGGGGAGAAGGAGAGGGAGAAGCAGGCTTCCAGGCTAGCAGGGAGCCCGATGTGGGGCTCAATCCCAGGACCCTGGGATCATGACCTGAGCTAAAGGAAGACGGTTAACGATTAAGCCACCCAGGCGCCCCTATTCCAGAGTTCTTATACACATGTCCTATCTCCCTACCTAGCCAGAGAATCCCAGAGAGCTAAAACTGTGTCTTCTCCTTCTAAGGCACCTACCAAGTTTGAGCACAGAGCAAATGTTCAATAAATGTTTGCAAAATTTCTACCAACAGGAATGGTGTACCATGGAGGGAAAAAAGCGAATTTGGCATGAGCAAAAAATTCTGTTTGTGCTTTGCTCATCTCCTAGGACCATGTAGTACCTTACATGTAACAGGAACCTAGCAGTTATTGAATTTAATAAATGAAAGATATAGCAAACACTGAGAAGTCATTAAGCAACATCATTTATGCTTTTATTCATTCATTCAACAAATGTGTATTTACCAAGAATCTGTGTGCCAAGCTCTCTGCTGTTCAAAGCCGAACTTCCTCCACAGACCTAGAGTCCTCCTCCCTAGCTAAGGCATCTCAACACTTCAGTTCATCTTGTAGACAGTGGGTAGGGCTAGGATGGTTATAGGTCTCAGTATGCCCAGGACAGTCTCAGTTTACACCTTTTGTCCAAGCGTTAATTATTAGCAGCATCCAGTTTCTCTCTCAACAATGCCCTGACATGACAATTATATAGCCTTAAGAGTACCAAATCTTTTTAGACAAGCAGACTAGGGATTCAAAAATTTCAATCCACATTTACTAGGTACTGCCAGTCTTGTTTCCTCATTTATAATACCAGTATAACACGGACTAAACTAACTGATTATACATAACGGAAGCAGTTGGGGATGGGCTGGAACATCATATTGAGATCATACCGTGGAGGGCCTTGCATGCCGGACATATAAATACTCATTTAATATACAACAGACAGCCATAAAAACTTTTGAGGAAGGGAATGTATGTATAGTCAAAGCACGATGAAAGGTTTACTACCTCGATTTCAGAAAAGAACTAAGACAGGAGGAAAGAAAAAACCAGAAGCCTCCAGGTCATACCAAAAGACAATCTAAAGCTATAAATAAAGAAAGGTTGTCATGGATGAAAATAGCAACAAATACGCTATTTCATCATCTGCCTTTACGTGTAGTGTAAAAGTTTCAACAATAAAAAGATGCAACTTAGCAAGCTCTAGTTCATTGGCCTGTGGTCTTGGGGGTCCTCATTGCAAGGGACTGGCTGTAAGGAAGGTTTTAAACAGCCTGGCTTGCCCTCTGGCCTGTCAATCGTGTAAAGGAGTTGTAGTTTGGTTTTTGTTTCGCTTTTATTTTAAGGGCTACACGGAAAACACAGTATTCGTTGTCAGGAGTTTCCCAACATTAAAGAGATGGACAGGAATCTTAACCCGCCTCCTCCAGATCTTCCACTATTGCATCATTTGAAACTAAACCTCCTCCGGCAGCGACTTGTAAAATTCAAGTCAGGTAAAATGGCAGCAGCAGCAACTGTGGGTGCTGCGGCGGCGGCTGGTGCCGCCGGCCTCAACTTCCAGCGCAAGAGGGAGCGTCTCTCCGGAGCTCCCAAGTGCTAGAAGGAACAGTCAATAAATCAACAGGTCCAGCGCGCGCGCCCCAGGGTGCTCAGACCCCCGCGCGCCGGCCTCAGGAAGAAGTGACTAATTACTTAAATACAGTCGGGAAGTCGGGAAGCCGGAGTCGGTTCTCGAAGCGCCTTCCCCCACGTCCACCACCGACACTGCGGACCTGCATGGGAAAGGCCTGTGCCCTATGGACGGAGGAGAAAGCACCAATTCCTGGGCTGCTGCTCTGGTCCCCTAGCCCTCCGGCCCCCTCGGCAGCCCCTACCCTGCCCGCTCGTGCAGACACGCCTGGGGCTCCTCCTCCCCGCCCCCGACCCCGGCTAGCCCCCTCCTGTCACCAACTGTAAGCCCGTCGGTTCTGCCACCTGGAAACTTCCATAGAAGTGGTATTCCACAAACCCCAGAGGGCCAGTGTCGGGACTTCAGGGTCAGACCTCAAAAAGCCCAGGCGCTCCTGAAGAAGCTCAGATCCTGCGCTCCCGCGCGCTGGCACCCAACCACCCGCAGACCCGACGTGGTGTCCTCTATCACCACGACCCCACGGTGCCGGCGCCCAGGACCTCCGCAGCGCCTCCGCTCCGAGCGCCCTCCACGCTCGCGTCGGGACAGACCTCCCAGGCCGGGTGCCCCCACCCGCAGCCCCTGCCCCTTCCTCCGGACGGGAGGTTGCCTAGTCCGGGACTGGAGAGCAGGGGGCGGGACCTTGGCCGTCCCTGCCGGGCTCGCTCATCCCTCCGGGACTCCAGGGGCAGTGCCCGCACCCCCACCAGCCAGTACCTCGTCCGCCTCTAGCTCTGCTCCGTTGCCTACGAGCGCCATGTTCCTCCTCAGGCTGCCGCCACCCAAAAACCAAACAGGGAGCTTAGGGCCGACTCCGTTTCTCCGCTCGGGGCTCAGCCCGGCGCCAGCGAGGGAGGAAGGGGGCGGCCCCGCGCTCCGGCTGGGTCCCGGGCGGGGCCAGCGCGCAGTCGAGCGAGTGCTTTCCCCGCCCCCGGCGCCCGCGGACCTGCAGAGCATCCATTTCCCCAGCGGGCGCCAAGCTGCCCGGCGGACCGCAAGCCCCGCCCCCTCAGGCCTCGCCCCGCCCCGCCCCGCCCTCCCACGCGGCCCAAACTGAAGAGCCAACCAGGTTCCCGCAACGTGTCTCCGCCCCGAGCCGGCATCAGCCTCGGACCCCCCGTGTGGGCGGGGCCAACTCGTGGGCGGGGCCAACTCGTGGGCGGGGTCATCTCGCAGACTGGGACTTGGTAGTTTGGCCCACCTTCTGGGAGAGTACTTGAGGGGACCCGCTTCCACCGCTGTGCTGAGGGCTTGTGCTAGCCTGCAGCCGAGAGAACGCCGGGTTGACGAGATCAAGGTCAAGGCCACGCTACCCCTGAGGCGGATGGAATCATCTACCTGGTCCTTCGGCCAATGCCAGTCCGCTTCCCTCGCCAGGTGGACGCCCCGTCTCACAGATTGTGGGACCAGAGGGCAGCCCTGGGTCACTCAGGATCACCCGTCACCCAGAAGCCTCTGTCACGCCACGTTCCCAAACACCGTGGCGGATAGAGGTACGCTGTGTTTGCTTCTGTGTATGTTTGAAAAATTAAAGAAAATCCACGGGACAGATATTTATACAACTTGGAGCTCCTCTACCCCTCCTCCTACTCCCCTGTCACGGTTATGTCCCCATAGCATCCCACAGTGACCCTTCGTGTAACCCCAAACATATGTATCTAATTCGTGCTTGAACGGTAAGCTCTATGAAGGTAGAGATGCTGTCCTCTTCAAGGCTGCTTCCCCAGCACCTAGAACAGTGTCTTGCACATAATAGGTGCAAGACAAATATTTGTTGACTGAATTTAGAAATTTCTTTTTTTTAATTTTTAAAAAAAATTTTTTGAGAGAGAGGGAGAGGGGCAGAGGGAAAGGGAGACAGAAAATCTTAAGCAGGCTCCACCTCCAGCGGGATGGGGGCGGGGCTCGATGTCGACCTAAGCTGAAATCCAGAGTCCCCCCCCCCCCTTATCTGACTGAGCCGCTCAGGCTCCCCTAGAAATTTATTCTTCTAACATGTAAAATAATTAAACTATCTAACTAGGAAGTTAAAAGCCGTATTTTTTGTCCACTTTATTTTACACACAATAAAATTCACCAAGTGTGTAATTCCATGACAAATGTTTACAAAACACCATCCCAATCATAATATAGAGCACCCTAAAAAGCTCCCTGTGCCCCTCTGCTATCAATTTCCTACCCCCACTCCATGCTTCTGTCAACCACTGATCTACTTTCTATCACCATCGTTTTGCCTTCTCTAGAATTTCACATAAATTTAATCAGAGAGCATGTGGTCTCTGTGTCTAGCTCATGAAAGGCTATTTAATGGCCATCCATTGATAATTATAAAAATAGCTAACATTTATTGAGTACTTACTATGTGTCAGGACTATGCTGAGCACCACATACATATTATCTCATTTATCCTTCATAATCCCATGAAATAGGTACTATTATCAGTAAACTGAGGCTCAGAGAGTTCAAGTAACTTGTTTGGGGTCAGACAGCTATAAAGCAAATAAGGATGCCCGAATCTGAACTCCAGCAGACTGACTATAGGGGTTGGCTGATAATCATTGTCCTGTCCGGCTTCCAGCCACTCTGCCTCTCTTTCTCCTTGTTTCAGTAAACCAACTGCCTACATATGTCTATTACACACATTCTCAATGAGTCCCCTTTGCATCCTTGAAACTTCCTCTAAGATTTTAACAAATCACTATGTAACTTTATAAAAGAAAAATAAAGTGGTTCCTATCCCATAAACAACATGAAAAAATAGGGTGATGGTTGCATAACTGTGAATTTTCTACAAATCATTGAACTGTATGCTTATGGGTGAATTTTATGGTTATCTACATAATATCTCAATAAGGCCTTTTTTTCACTGGTTAACACATTCTTTGGATGCTCTTAGAAGCAAATAAATGGGGCTAGAAGGGAACTAAAGGTCTTTTAATTCCAATACCCCTGAAAATTTCCATTCCTCCTCCCTTCCACTCCCTTTTCTGTTTATGCTTCACTTTCTGAGGCGAGATTTCCTGCCTGGGTCCAGATTCTACTCTGTATTACTCACAGATGATTCCGCTTTTTAAAGTTCATTGTTTCCTAAATTAATAGCACGTCTTTTTGACGTGAAACCATCTTATTGGTGGCTTCTTCCTCTCCTGTGTCCTTTGTTATTGTCTTACAAATTTCATCTCAAATTTTGAAGAGATACCAAAGAAGTTGGCTCTAATTAGTGGTATAACGATGTTATAATGAGAATCAAGTCTAATTTTTCAGGAATCTGTTCTTATAGATAAAGTCCGGTAGGTTGTTTTTGTTTTTGTTTTATATATATCAGGGATCAAATCTGAAGCTCTGTATGTCTTAAATTCACGTCACTAGGTAAGCAACGCTCCTATTTCTAAGGAAGCCAATTGTAAACACTGAATGTATATGTTCTAGCCACTAGAACATCTAATCAAATTTGCTTTGCTCCTGGCAGATGCTGACTTTCTCTGCACACGTATGATTTTGCAAGATCATGAATCACAAATATAAAAGAGATTTTTTCAAAAAACAATTAGGGGGCGCCTGGGTGGCTCAGTCGTTAAGCGTCTGCCTTCCGCTCAGGTCGTGATCCCAGGGTACTGGGATCGAGCCCCGCCCCCGCATCTAGCCCCGCATCTAGCCCTGCATCTGGCTCCCTGCTCTGCAGGAAGCCTGCTTCTCCCTCTCCCACTCCCCCTGCTTGTGTTCCCTCTCTCACTGTCTCTCTCTGTCAAATAAATGAATAAAATCCTTAAAAAAAAGGAAACAATTAGAATGGATTCATTTTTGCAACAGAATTCATTGCCAGTTTGCTGATAATGTACTCTTAACAGACAAGTGAAATTACTCAAATATTTCATTTCCACAAAGTAACTAACATGGGGATTAAGCAAGAGCGAGTGACTCATTTTTTCTTTAATTTTGAAAGCACACCTACTGGGATCTGTTTGGATTTCAAAATAATTCTGATACTGCTCACCCTCTTATCTTTACTATTCCTGAACCTGTTACCCTTAGCAGACTAGGGCTTTTTGTTGATACTCCATTTAAATAAAAGTTGCATCTTCATCATTTGTGTAGTGGGAGATAGAATGGTTTTCCATTTAGAAACGAAAATTTTTAGATGCTTGTATCCATGAAATAAGTGCTCATTGTAAATTATGCATTTGTCAATGGCTTTGTCTCACATTCCTATCTTAGCTCCTCAAGAACTTTCACCTCTAACATAGCCTTTCCCTCCCACTTACATGCTTCCATGTCCTCCTACTGCCTTCATAGCACTTTTTCCTATCTGAACTATCTTGTTCATTTGTTTACATGTTCATGGGTTATCTCCCTCAACAACAACACCCCCTCACACACACCATAATGTGAACTCCATCAGGGAAAAAACCCTGTGTTTTGTGTTTCTAATAAAACCCCAGTGCCCTGGGGGCACCTCAGTGGCTCAGTCATTAAGCATCTGCCTTCGGCTCAGGTCATGAGCCCAGGAATGATCCCAGGGTCCTGGGATCGAGCCCTGCATCGGGATCCCTGCTCTGTGGGAAGCCCGCTTCTCCCTCTCCCACTCGCCCTGCTTGTATTCCCTCTCTCGCTGTGTCTCTCTCTGTCAAATAAATAAAATCTTTAAAAAAAAAAGGGGGGGGCGCCTGGGTGGCTCAGATGGTTAAGCGTCTGCCTTCGGCTCAGGTCATGATCCCAGGGTCCTGGGATCGAGTCCCGCGTCGGGCTCCCTGCTCCTTGGGAGCCTGCTTCTCCCTCTGCTTCTCTCTCTCTCTCTCTCCCCCTCTGTCTCTCATGAATGAATAAATAAAATCTTTAAAAAATAAAAAAATTAAAAAAAGGAGCAAACCAATAATAATGAGGGAGATTAAAGATGGCAAGTTACATGAAGTCCAAAAAGTACATACTGTTTTTCTTAGGATAATGTGCAAGGCATGATAACTGTCTTTAATGCCAACTCATTTTTTTCAAAATTATAAAAGAGCTAAGCACTTAGAGTTCCCTCAGTGACCTAAAAGGGATTAATTCACGTCTCTGGGAGAAGCTTAAATGCTAGGGGAAAAGCCTCATCATTTGGTGGAGGCTGAAATCCTCCCTTAAGAATATCCCAAATCTAGGCATTTGGAGCTGGGTAAACATTCATTTTGCCCAGTTTAGCAGTTCTTTGTTATAAATATATATTTGTATGTAAATATATATTTATAAATTATATATATATATAAAATCTTTCCAATCACCTTCCTATTTATTTCCCCTATATGTCTTTAAATTACATTAATCTCATTTTTTTCAGATGAGGAAAGTGAGACCCAGAGAAGAGAAAAGCAAAATAAAGACTAATTTTGGCAATATGAGGCCTAGAGTAGTGTTGGAGATTTAAAACCAAGAATAAATATGGAATCTGTGACAGAGACTGCTCATTGCCACCTGTTGTTCAGTCTCCCTTTGTTCCATCAGTAAGAGAACCTGATTTTTTTTTAAAGATTTTATTTATTTATTTGACACAGAAAGAGAGCATAAGCATGGGGAGCTGCAGAGGAAGAGGGAGAAGCAGGCTCCCCACTGAGCAGGGAGCCCAATGTGGGGCTCAATGTGGGGCTCCCCATGGGTCTCCATATGGGGCTCAATCCCAGGACCCTGGGATCATGACCTGAGCCAAAGGCAGACACAAAACCCACTGAGCCACCCAGGCACTCCAGAACCTGATTTTATATAAAGCAGCCCGGTACCCAGCCAAGAGACTATATTTTCAAGGACTTCCTTACAACTAGGAATGGCTGATATAATTAAATTCTGGCCAAGGAAATATATTATATTTAATATTATATTTAATTTCCAGGAAAGCTGCTTAAAGGCAAATGACTCAACAGAGG